CATGTGACTGCTGACGCAACAGTACTTTATAGAAGTCATAATTTAATAAGATAGAAAAACTTTTTTATTTTCTCTAAATCTATGGTGCTTACAAGTTCAGAAAACAAAAGGTACTATTGAAGAATAAATTATTATTTAAAGTACATCACTTTTATTTTTAAATCTCCCTAAGGTTTGACTACATACTGTGTATTTAACCATTTTTTCTCTGTTGTCAGTCTATATGAAATGTGTTTGATAATGTTTTGATTAGACTTCCTGGAATAATACATTTGTGTTAGTTCTCATAAAAAGCTATACTCTTCTCTTATAATATAATTCACATGTTTTTCACCCTTATTTCATTCTAATAGTGCAAGCTTTACCAAATGTAAACATATTCATAAAAAACATTGGATTTTTGCTTCTGTGTCCAGGAAATATGTCCATACAACCCTCTATCCTTTATGTGTTTTGTGGGTGTTTTCTTCTGTATCTGGGAAATATGTCCTTGAAACCCATTATCCTTTATGAGTTTATGGGTGTTTTCTTCTGTGTCTGGGAAATATGTCCTTACAACCCTCTATCCTTTATGGGTTTTGTGGGTGTTTTCTTTATTTCTGGGAAATCTGTCCTTACAACCCATTATCCTTTATGAGTTTGTCTGTGTTTTCTTCTGTGTCTGGGAAATATGTCCTTACAACCCTCTATCCTTTATGAGTTTTCTTCTGTGTCTGGGAAATATGTCCTTACAACCCTCTATCCTTTATGGGTTTTCTTCTGTGCTCATAAAGGATAGAGGGTTGTAAGGACATATTTCCCAGAAATAAAGAAAACACCCACAAAACCCATAAAGGATAGAGGGTTGTAAGGACATATTTCCCAGAGGGTTGTAAGGACATATTTCCCAGACACAGGAGAAAATCTATCCTTTATGAGTTTTCTCCTGTGTCTGGGAAATATGTCCTTACAACCCATTATCCTTTATGAGTTTTCTCCTGTGTCTGGGAAATATGTCCTTACAACCCTCTATCCTTTATGAGTTTTCTCCTGTGTCTGGGAAATATGTCCTTACAACCCTCTATCCTTTATGAGTTTTCTCCTGTGTCTGGGAAATATGTCCGTTATTTTAATTCTTTAAAATTATACCATGGATGTTATATTTCACTAAAATTACATCCATACAGATCATTAAATGTTTCACTTAATTTTGTAAATCTATTAACTTATCACTTTTGTTTGTTACTTTCCATTTTTTCTAGGGGACTAAGAAGTTATGCCCACAGTGTAACATGATTACAACCCCCAGTGATTTAAGAAGAATTTATCTTTAAAAAACAGCAACATCCTATCAACTGTTGTGAATAGTTTAACCAAAAATGAATGTTTTAGTTAAAAGGTTCCTGAAATTATCAAACAGAACTTGGAACAATTTTGTTTTGAGATTCTCACAAAAAGTGCTTGCTGTCATTCATTAATATTATTGTTTTCAACACTAATTATAGTAATAAAGAAATATTTATGTTGTGTACAGTAAAGAGAAGAATACTGTAAAAGAAGTGCATTTATGTGTATAAATATCATTGGTCCAGAGGAGGGAAATGTTATTATTTTATGCAGTGTGGAAGTTGAATGGTTGTAACGAAGACCGTCTTCAAAACGTCATGCCTTTATGGTAAAATGTACTAAAGGATGTTCTGAAAATAAAATGGTTATTGATCTTAGAAGTCGTGAACTAAAGATTTATTTTGGAAGCACGTAGCGTTGTGTTGTGTATAAGAACATACGAAAGAAGAAAGCTTTAAAAAATTGTATATGAATCACAGAAAAACTAGAAAGATACACAAAAAGAGAGAAGCCCATGCCCCACAATGTTCTGAGTATTTTACTATCCTACCTAAAATACACACCAAACGATTCCTCGCCATAAAAACATGCAAGTCTAGGTACCAAGAACCTCTTTTTATCTGAATTAGGCTTAGCAGGACCCGGTGGTTAGCATGCTCGACTCACAATCTGATGGTTATGGGTTCGAATTTCTCAACGAACATGTTCATCCTTTCAGGCGGGGGTGCATTATAATGTGATTGTCAATGCCACTTTTAATCAGAATAGCCCGAGAGTTGGCAGTGGGTGGTATTGATTAACTGTTTTTCTTTTGGTTTATCATGTGTAAATTAGGGAAGGTTTTCTGAGAAATTGAAAAAAAAATTACCTTAATTTGTTCTCGAATTTGACGTTTTTTCACAAACCCCGTTGGCTTTCTTTATAACTTAAATACTTGACCCTCAAAGTGACTTTGACCTTTTTAGACGCACATTCATCAATTATGTTTATATAAAGTTTGGACTTCTAGTACCCCTAACCTTTCTCCTTTTAAGTGAACTTCTTTACGTCCATTATTGATGAATTGTTTGTTTGTTTGTTTTTCAATTTCGCGCAAAGCTACACGAGTGCTATCTGCGCTAGCCGTCCCTAATTTAGCAGTGTAAGACTGGGGGAAAGGCAGATAGTCATCACCACCCACCGCCAACTTTTGGGCTACTCTTTTACCAACAAATAGTGGGATTGACCGTCACATTATAACGCCCCCACAGGTGAAAGGGCGAGCATGTTTGGCGCGACGGAGATTCGAACCGCGACCCTCATATTGCGAGTCGAGCGCCCTAACCACCTGGCCGTGCCGGAATTATTGATGAATAATTTTAATATAAAAGTTCGAGAGTTAAGCGGAGATACCTAACTTTGTGTCAAAGACAAACATAGATAAATACCTTAGTTTCATGTTATTAGAGAAAAAGAGTCAATTTCTGCATTCCGGACATATGGTTTGTTTGTTTGTTGAATTTCGCGCAAAGCTGCTCGAGGGCTATCTGCGATTGTTGTCTTCAGTTTTGCAGTGATAGATTAGAGGGTGGACAGCTGGTCAACACAACCCACTGCCAACTCTTGGACAACTATTTTAAGACCGTCTCTTATAACGCCCCTAAGGCTGAAATTGCGAGAATGTTCGGTGATGGGGATACTAA